TGAAAAACATGTGATCCAATCTAATCTATTTCATGGTGGATCCATCCCGTGGATCAGCAACAATTTGCCTTGCGAGTAGTAAAATGATTCCATTGCTCAGACGCATCGACTTAAATGGCGATCAGCATGATAATCAATACATAATAGTCACATAGCCCAAGTAATTCCCTTTACTAGATCAACTGGAACCACTTGACCCAGACGATAGCCAATAGGGTTTACAGTACCGTCGGAAATTCATGAACTTGAACTAACCAAAGAAGTGGTTCTGCTCAATCTAAGTGCTACCACACTGGTGTTCAGTGTCCTTCAGTGAACCCACTTTGGATTATTGAAAAGTCATTTTGCCCACCGTTAAATCATGCCGATCTTGCATTATCAAGATGTTCTCATATCCTCATGTGTCACCGCTATGAACCGGACATGTAACAAACGACGCTATTTACGAATTCACAACTATGCGACCCGGAACAATTGTCAAAAGGAATTGATCTCCGTACACAAAATATTCCCATCCACAGAAGGAACAACAAACGCACTTTTCGAGAGTTTTTACAAAACAGTTGGCAAACTGGTTATGCAAATTGACTCTTTACAACCGGCCTTTTGCAGCATTCAGATTACAATTGATGTGAATCGAGGAACAGTGTATCCCTTAGAAATCTTCAATTTGATGTACACCTGTAAATCCGGAAATCGGTGTAAATTGTCTCTTCATGACACAGTAGCGGCGTGCAACGGAAGAAACGAAGACAAATACTATAAATGCAGCAGCTTAATTGCACTCGACAAGCGAGTAAAGGCTTTTGATTCCGTCGTTGGAGTTGAACAAATATCATCACTCATGTGTGTTCACAATCGATCGTTGATAAGTGTGTGTGTGTGTGACGCGAATGAGCCACAGTCATGGGACCTTTTTGAGCGCAAACCCGAATGTGGGAACTTTATTCAAAAGGGAAATATTCGAATACCGAAATCGAAATAGGCTGCTACAGAATGGCGATGGGTTTGTTCACACTGTCCTCGTAGATATAAGAGAAGAGGCAGGCGATCACACCGGTCGGTTTGAAAATAATGGCACCAAAATATCCCTTAGACTATCAAAGAACCGTGGGTTATTTCTGAAATGAAAAAGACAATACAGATGTGATCGTATAAAGCAAATTTTGTTGATTTTTATCAAATTAGATAATCCCCTCGACTCAAACGTTTGACATTGTGAGACATTTTCATCAAGTATGAAGTTGGCAGGGACTCATAGTATATATATATATATATGTATATATATATATATATGTGCACTGTGATACCGTCAGGCAACATCATATTGAGTACAAGCATGCATTGAGAAAACTGTGGAGTAACCGCAGTCAAATCCTGGGAAGTGAAAGCATTCTTTCAAGGACTGCCAGTTAGCATATCACAATTGGCCAAATTGGCATTCGGGTGAGGAAGAATGATCTCTCTAGCTGGTAGAACCAATTTTGCTGTACCTTGCACAGTGCAAAGATAATCCTTTGAATCAATGAGCTTCACCGTCTGACGGAAGCGCAGTTGCTTGGTTGATACATAGCATTCATTTCAGTCACCTGAATTCTGTGATCACATTGTACGCAGCTTTTCAAAACTAATAGGGGAGGGGGTGTGCAGCTTATGTTTGGATGAGTGACATTCAAGTCCACAGTCAATCAAGTTTTGCGCATACCACGCGCAAAGGTGTAAGCGTCGGGGGTGAGCGGAGGTCGCAGGGTGTAGAATTTCGATCGCCCGCACATTCATTCAGTTGACGAAAGCTTTCCTTTGTACTCCACTGCGCTCGTAACCCGGACAGTTTGAATTGCAATAAGTATCCTTGGGGTAAGAATTGTGTTGGTTAAAAAATGGAATGTAATCGGAGTAGATAAACTTCCATATCTCGTTTAATTTACGATACACTGCTACTTACTTGGAATATCCTGTCACTTTACGGAAGATATTTTGAGGAGCGCAAAGACAGGCGAATGAAGCAATGGACGGGATGGGGACACCGCTCCGCGGCGGTCGCCTGGTCGGTAGACTGGGTTGGTATAAATAATACGTAGGATAGTTGGAAAAGGTCACTCAAGAGGGCATTTGTACCATTGTCCTCCCTCGTCCATGGTTGTCTGTGGGATAAAATATGTAACAAATGATAATCATTAAAGCGCAATAGAATTGGCCTTACAGATGGATTATAGACAACTGCTTTGAAAGCTTACTCTTGGACTCGTTACCCTATTCTGTCCAACATATTCAATATTCCAACGTTTAATACAGATATTGACCAAACTCGTGCAACATCCTGATTTTCATCACATTTGTTACTCTCAATGCTTCGTTTTTCCAGCCTCATTCACGGGATTGCCCCACATCAGACGCAACATATCTGATATAATATCCACTTATGTCTTTGCTTCTGTTAGCCACATGCCATTAAAATGTACAATTTCGCGATTTCAACGATTTTTATTAATGCATCAGTTGCAAGATAACAAGGTCACAGTAGAAAACGTAACTGTAATTTATTTATTAAAATGACTCATAGACTTTATACAGGTATTGCACTTTCATCTCATTCATGTACCATTTGCTCCTCTTCGTTTCTGTGCACTGGAGGCAGTCGCTTTAGGATGGAATCCACCAAGTTGACTGCCAAACATAATTTGCAAGTTTCCTCTAATACACCGCACACCCTAAACACCGGCGACCTGTGGCAAGGTAGCTGATTTATCCCTGTTTCTGATAGAGGGATAAGTTTCCGCGACATTCAAGGTCGCGCACATTCAAATGGTGATAACAATGAACAAAGAACACAGATGTTGTAGATAAAGTCGGGAATAAATACAGTTTACTCATAGCCATCTATATATAACTAAGATATTGCATGCTGAAATGGATTTTCAAAATGAGGGTGATGTTGCACGAGTTTGGTCAACACCTGTACTTGATTACTGGTGAACAGACAACATTCTACTCAAACATATTGTGTTTCTCTTGAGTTTTGCCACTCACTATTCATTAAAGAGACATTCTTCACTAGGGGAACATCAGTTGAGTATTTGGATATTGTTCTTAACCATTCTTTATATTCGATACACGATTCGTACATGACTGCATTTTCCAAAACCACCTTCATGTCTCCCCCGTGATTTTGACTGATCTATTACAAAACATCATGCGTGATGTATTATAACGTTTGAATTTTGTTCCTTGTTACCGGTAGGACAGGTATTTGATACCCACTGAAAATCTTTCATTGGAATTCGATGCTTCAATAACGTAGTTCGTGCGTAGAAACAGCTTCAGATATTGGAAAAACTGGCGCTGGTAGCCGACGGCCTGATTGGAACCAGCTATCTGAGGGGTTTTTAAAAACAACATCTCGCTGCCAATGGAATGGATCTCCTCTGAATATCGTATGAATTATGGGGCTTACTTGAGTAGCTGAGATCACCCAAGCAAACTTAATTGAAGTGCCAAGGAGGCCTGTGGTGAGCAGTCAACAATATAAGGTTAAAGGCAAACAACATGAACTGCACCGCACCTTCCGACATTAAAAACACCCCTGGAATGAGGGAAATTACTATGACTACACAATGGTGCTTCCTCCTACACAACGAAATAGAGGGAGTGTCAGGCTTACCAAAAATTACGTGTGCTCCATAATGCGGCCTGGAGTCGTGCAATCGTGTGCTTCTCCGCTCCCGTGAAATCAGAACCACAGTGTGTACCGTAAAACGGAAATCAATAAATGTCTTGAATTGTTCAGAAGACATTGACCGACATGTGGAGCAATGCATATATAGCAAATGTGCCTTGAATAGGTCATAGTAAATTTTGAACAAAACGAGCGAAAGATGCCTCGTGGAAAACGAGGCGAGTATTAAATCATGTGCGCCGGATATATTCCGGATAACTCAAGAAAAAATCCCCTGAATTAATCAACCATATTCCGGTGTTATTCAAAAAAGGAACCACGGTTCTTCCCGTCGATTTTTGTGATGGCTGTTCCAGCTGACGAGATCGTTCCGGTCATTCGAGTTAGTCACTAGTAAATCTGCATAATAGTCTGAACGGAACCCGTACTATCGAACCTCGGTAACACATTAACAGCAGCGGAGTTGTTGAGTCTGCTCAACATGGTAGCATCCTTGCAAGCGACGAATGTTAATTTTCTGTAATCCGCCATCACATCAACCCGGAGGTTGTGTTTTTGATTTGGAACGCGACGTCATCATTTCTCATTTATTTGTATCCCCTGGTATTCATTTGATTGGACGCTTTTCATTCCGAGGTAGTCTATTGAATATGAGACAGAAAGAGAGAAAAAGAGATTACTGGCTTGTATTATTATTGGTACAGAACAAAACGGAACCCGTCATCTTACGTTGCTATTTTCCACGGTTGTGCAAAGCGTGTCACCAGGAAATGACTTGATGGCGAGGCTCCACTTGTCTCTCATAGTATCGTTATTCCAAAACATCAAGTCTGTGCTCCCTTTCGTTTTTCTTCTGTCTCTTTATCGACCCCCGAGGTGCCCAATTCAGCTGTAAGCATGATGTAAATTCGGTATGTGAACCCTCTTATACTTGACACACTTCGTAGAGAGAGAGAGAGAACGCGCATCCCGATTGCGTTTCACCTGGTTGCGCACCACCGACTGAACAAATAAGTCGAATCGCTCAGACACCTGGTAACCTCCGATGGCCAGAGACTGAAATATTTCGATTACTGAACCCAAAACGAACACTCAACAGAAAAAACAACGAGCATTTGTGGAATTTGGAGGAGACCAAAAACGAATGATTTAATTGAAGTGAAATGCATATAAATATAAAACGACATTCATAAAACTAAACGGCGCTGAAATTATTCAATGAGGTGTTGTCGTTGTTGTTCTCGGGAATGTACACACGTCAAGGTCACAATGTTGCATTGGTAGGGCTGTCCTGCATTTTGCGGGCAATGGTAGGAATCAGTTTTCATAAATAGCGTTTCAGGAAATCGGGGAACGGGGTGTCCATGGGTGCGATCAATTTGTAGATAGACTTCTTCCAAGATGCATCTCGATCCGCTCCGGAACAGACAGCCTGGAAGAACTCGTTCACGGCTACTTGTGTTGTCTGGAGAAATTCGTCGGGAGTCTGATTTGAAACAAACGGAAGTAAGTAAGTGGACACGGATAAGCGGTTATCATAGATCGNTAGATCGAAACTGGTACCTGGAATAGTTAACTCCGATGACCGCAGAAAGCTGGCCGAAAACTATGCTAATAGATATTCATCTCTGAAATGAAATATGCAATCGATATTCTGTAAAAAAAGATAGTTCTAGAAGTACCAGAAATAAATGCTGTGGAAAATTATTGATCAGATATTGTTTTGTCATCACTTCAGAATGAATTGGTGATTTGCCAAGTAAACAGTATGGAAAAAGATAGCAAAATAAACACTTATCTTAGGAAAACATGTTCTAAACTGATGATTAAGTAGNTTAAGTAGACTACTTCGTTTATGGAATAATGATTCGCACTGTCCAGGAAATGAGTGTCATTCGCCTTTAAGTTGGGTCATAAATCCTTTCGCATATTTCTTAGATAAACCCGAGAACTGAAGTCATTACCGGAAATGGATTTGGTATGTGCACTTCAAAAAATTGTGGAGTATTTTACATTTACTTCTAACTTTCACATCCAGAATTTAGACTTGATTATTCAACTGGGTCGATCGTCTGTCAGGCTTTCATACTTCTGTTTCTGTTAGTTGGAACTGTGTAAAGGTCAGTAGCTTTGGCGGGTTTCGAACCCACATGTGCACGCCACATACGCGCATACTCTTNCTTCCAGTTGATATTTTTACTTTGGATCACCCGCTCAACTTACAGAGGCAAATGGAAACCGCCGTATCAGTTAGCTTACACGTTAAAGTGGTGGATGAAGTGTAGGCGGGATTTCGGGGTTCGAAGCCCACCTAGGCTACTGTTCTTTCCACAATTCACGCATGAGACTGATGTCTTCCGCAGTCTTCCAAACAACAGGTTAAACGGTTTCTATTTCATCAGAAATGACGTATACATGACTGGTAAGGTTAAATCCTCTTGTAAAAATCCTGACTACCGAGTTATATGGAAATAAGATGATAAGATGTGCATTGTGAAAGTTACGGCCTAAAGCAAACCAAGCGCAGTTGGGGGTGACGGAACCACTTTACAGTCCTAATGTAACACTATTCCCGGGTGTGGCCCACTATTCACTGCCAGACTATCTGTGCTAGCTCGACCGGAATTGCCTCCTAGTTAATACAATTTCTGACCGTTCGATTTCCGGAATGAAATTGTTCTCGCTCAATAAGGAGGATTTCGAAGTTAGCACACTTGTTTCTGCTTACAATTCATCCAAAGCATGGCAGTTAGCACAGTTCAACCTGGGGCAGATATACAACTTGTATAATCAAAAACAAACTAGAGGTGGCACCTATCAAGACCCGTTCTACGTCTTCAAACCCATTAAGTATATCATGTGAAACCGTTCGCAGTTCGTTATAAAGTTATACCAAAGCAACTCACCTCGATTTCACGATCTTTGTTATAGTGTAACTCGAGACTACGAAATAGTTCATGTTCCCGAGAGATTGACACTGAATCCTTGGCTTTCATCCCGTTCGCTTTGCATTGTCTTACATATTTCTCGATCTGAATGTAAAAGAACTCACTACCATATTCAAACAAAAGCAAAGATTGAGGTTAGCCGCTTTGTAATCGAAAGGTCATGAAACGTATACAAGAGCAAATAATCGAAATAATAAAATAAACTTTGGAACAATACAATGATTTTGTCATCATTCACTTGATTGTTTATTTCTCTGTTCATAGTAAGCTTCTATTAGTTAATAAGTGAAAGCATCCTACATTATATTCGTTCACAACAGGTGGACAATGGCGTCATCCTACTGCTAAACAATGAACGAGAATAGCACAGTGAAAAAAACGTTTTCTAAAGAGAATTACAACCAGTGGAATATTAACCAAGTGAAGTATGCATACATACGCGTAATAAGAAAGAATATGTTTCCTCTGCATGTCTAGGCTGTTTCAGTCTAATGGCTTTCAGGGACGACAGAGAACATTGGGGAGTAACTAATACACACTCCGTGACAAAAGCTTCCTCCTCTTCTCTTAAGTTTTCTTATTTTTTGGTATTATTGAAAACCTAGAGACGAAATTTCCACGTCTCAGCATTCACCAAATGGGCAACGCCACGACAAAAGTGTCTTGCCACCCTATGGTTCAATTAAAATGAAGCAAGGTAATGTGCCGTGAAGCGACCAGTTCGTCTTGACCCTCCTTTTGGAAATACACGCCATGAGAACCGGGAGCATTGCCTTGCGGTTAGACGACGACTCCCGGAACGGCCCTTCTACATCCGACCCTAAACGCGTGAGTAAACAAGCCCCGACTCACGTGACAGAAAGTGGATGCAAGGATATTGCCTATGTTTGAATTTAGACCACATCCTGATCACACACTCACTGTGGCATGGATTATCGCAGTCGAGCTTCACATAGCTATTTGCCGTCGGAGAGGGCTCTCTAATTTTGAACGAGGGCGAATTGAATCGAAAAACGGAGTATATTATTGATGTGATAGCCATGGCTTAAGCTGTTGTGATGCGCAAAACGATTAAGGCAGAGGAAATAATTTCGGACAAACTGTACTAGTAGAAAACTTAGCCTCCGATTCTATGAATTGTGCCTCAAAAATGATCATATTTGTTATTAAAGCTGTCAGGTAGAAATTTCGTATCTGGGCTTTCACTTGGCTGTCGTACTAATACCCCAAAATAAACACTGCGCCTCACTAAAAGGTGAAAGCCTTTTCGGAGGAAGGGGTGAGAAATTTGTCACTGAATGTTTAGAACTCTTTGTTCAGTTGCTAATACTACACAAATCATTCCTGTAACATTTGGTACCATTTTAATAAACATACATTGATCAATAAAATACTTAGTGCTGTGAATGAATACGAAGGTAATTAAATACAATGTGGATATTACGGAGAATTCCATTAATACGGGTGGACGACTGCTAATATATCAGTGCTAGGGGTCTAAGACTATCACATTCCTAGACATATACGAAAATTGTGCAAAAAACCAAGTGCCACAAGCAGCAGACAAACCAGTGGTGCAAAGCCACACGTGGTGCACTACACATGTTCGGGGCCAAGAAAGCGGAGTCTGGTCCTCGCTCATCACGTGATGGATGTGTTCGAGGGGGCGTGCGCGTGTACGAAATTGAGGGCCATGGGTAGGATCAGGATGCGTTAACTGAGACGCCGATGTAGGAACAATAGCGCGCCAGTATCATCGTCATCCATGTCCGGATTGAGAGAATGGGGACGGGAGGACTGGGCATGCGGTGTTGCCATGACCGGGCGGCAACGGAAGATCGACTTGGAGCGCCCACGCGCTCAAGCACAAGCACACAGACAGTTGGGGATAGTGCAGCTTACCGAAAGTTACTGAACCATTTGACCATTTGCGCGGTGGTGGATCGTGTGAAGATCACGTCGGGAAAGAAGGTTTTCAGTATGGACGAGTTCGGATATCGGGCGTAGAGGAACATCAGTTTGGCTCGCTTTAGATGCATCCCCGTCAGAGTCAGAGTCTATTCCATTGAAGTAATACGACAAGGTTGCAGGTGAATGGGTGAATTTCATATGGTTAACTGAATCACTAATCTGTCGTATTTTAGAAACACGGCTTACCTAAACAAACAAATGGTTATAGACACGAGGTTACCAAACCCGCGATTGGTGATCTTATTTGATTTATAATGCGTTACATATGTATGTTCTTCTAACCTTTCTCACACTCTTCGCAATTGATGTCTGGCGACACAGCGAAAACTTCACAATGCAAAATCCACGCACTTCAATTTAAAACTCAATGCAGAGAGAGATAACGTTACCACTGCATAAAAACGTAGAATGTAATAAACATAAAAAGAAAATACGTACTCCAATTGCCAGGATTATGGACCGGAGTTGATTTTTCTCTCGTCTATCAGTTCTTTGGGAAAGCACAGCTCTTTGAGGGAATGTGTGGCTTACATTAGATTATCGTTTTAATCAATAAACCATGTTTTGGTTCGCATGAAAAACGGTGTGTACTTTCTCTATCCATCTTGCCCCCCCCCCGCTCCTTCTTCAACGTCACAATGACCAAAACATGCTAAATTTCATTTTTCTTTGTTTGAGGTTACCCACTGAAACCTTACCGCACAATGATAATAATAATAATAATAATAATAATAATAATAATAATAATAATAATGGTGGCGGACCCACGGGACGTGCAAAACCCGTGTCCTGAGGGTTTGTAATGAAAATGCAAACCGTGGCTGGGACTAACTAATCAATCATTCACAAACGTTACTCAACGGTATAAGGAGCTGCTGTGTGAAATCATCCGTTCTATATCCCCTCATCGACACAAGAATAGAGCCAGCGCTTGTACAATAATTCATATTGCGGCAGGGAAATATGCAAGGAAAATAAGAAGGCGTTTTAACCATACAGCTTTGTAAGCAAAAGCATCTGAGTCAAACATTGTTGTCCTCTTGATCTGACCACGTAACTCATTATGTTTGCGGCTTCAAGCCTCGAACATGTTTCATGCACTTATTTTCAGTGGCTTTTTCCGATCACGTTATAGGTCATAAATAAATAAATAAATAATTAATAAATAAATAAATAGTGGCTTTCCTACACCATGTAGGATTGATTCCATCCTATCAACTCACACGGCTTATCGATACTCAAATCCGTGTACACTTTTCTTCATTGCTAATATATACTTTGTGAGTCGTTTGACCTTTTGGTCTCCCATTTCTACTGCGATTTGACCATCAATTACTGCTAATATTCCGTCCGTTGCTCGACTGTGTCAATGCAATTCACTGAGCTGCATTCAACCAACTAACTGATAGATTCAGAAAGAAAGTTCCTCGAGAACGCTTTTTCTTAATCGAACATGGACGTCTTAAAGGAATAATTTAATGTTTGTTTTAAACACTAAAACCAGGTCAGCCAAAATGGAGTAACTCACTTTGGTTGTACCATGCAAATCAGATTTTTCCATCGTGTGATACGAGGGCGACACGCGGTTTTCTTGTCCTTCTTCCTCTTCTTCAGACACACGTGACCATTCACGGCGCACGCGTAAGTCCAATGTGCCATCCAATCTCAATGATTGATCAGTTGGACTTAGAGACTGACCGGTCTGACGTCCGGTAGTACCGTTTCCTGACTGTCTAATGCGTAATCGACGCCCGGTGGATCGGATCCTCAAACGACGTCTTCTGGCTGCAGACTGTATCTGCAATTGATGCTGTTGATGTAGTTGCTTGTTCCTGGGGAATAGGCGATTTGGACACCTTGATGGAACATACTCGTCCGTGATAAGTTCATTCGATTTGGGACATAAGTTCACTTCAGTATTCGGGGATGATGACGGGAAAGCAAAAGGACCGGGATCTATCTTCACACGGCTGTTCTGTAATGATGTGGTTGGTGTAAATGTGGCCGTACCCGACGTCGGAATCGGTATAGATGATGGATATTGGGTTTGTGCGC